AAAATATATTTATTTTTGGTACGGATGTCTCTCATTTCGGTGTATTATCCGTATGATAATGTCATGGAGGTTTGATTGGTTTGTCGACGTCCATATAATATTTCAGCATTCCTCCTCGATCAATATCAAATTTCACAATGTATAAGAATTAAGTGGAATCAATTTGATTGAAAAGAAGAGTTTTTTCATGTTGTTGTGCAATGTATCCTGTTTTAGAGGATGTGGATGGCACTGTTTTATTGGAGACAATTCGACGAGTTCAACGCAAAAGTTTCATCAAGATTGACCAATCCAATCGAAAGATACCTCACTGGTGTCCTCGAAGGTGTCGCGGACTGTGAATTCCCGCGAAAAATGGTTTGCAAGACTGTCATTGCATCACTTTCGCTTTGACGTTCGCAATGGAGGACGACACATCCAACTCTTCCCGAGTCCGTCGCCACACTTACCAAATTGCGATTAGGCTCCGATCCATCGAGCTTCTTAAGACCAAGTCGATTCGGGAAGTAGCTAAAGAACTCTCAACACCCTTCAGCTGTATACGGAACTGGAAAAAGGTGTCGACGAAATTACATGCCTTTAAAGGAATCAAGAAGACTTCCCACCTGCCAGGCGCTGGTCGCCCAACTATCATACAACTGTATCATACCGGACTCAAACGCTCTTTTGGCATTCATGGATGAACGGCGCCAGCAAGAGCGCGCCTTGACTTTTACTCACATGGTAAACTACCTCAAGCTTCACCATCAAACATGGCTAGTTGAGTACATGCAGCGACAAAAGCAAGGTCGTGGGTATGATAATCTATTGAGGCTTCTTCAAGAGTTCTGTGGTCTTCATGGTTACACTCATCAACAGTCATGCACGCCAAGAGAGTGATCACTGACCTCGAAAGCACCAGGATTGAGTTCGCCCGAGAGTTCCATCTGAAGCATGGCGGGTATCTCGAAGACTGTGTCTACAATGTTGATGAGACCGGCATACAATTCGACATGCCGCCACGGTATATCTGGTCACGAAAGCGCAGTTCCCCAAAGCTAACAACGGAAGAAAAACACTCTTACCGCATGACCGCAGTCTTAACAATCCGACGGGATGGACTCAAGCTGCCAATCCTCTTCGTCATAAGGGCAAACATGGTGGCTGTATCCAAAAGAACGAGTTTCTATCGTATCCAGAAGGCCACTACTACGCGATGCAAGAAAAGGCCTGGATGGACGCAAGTGTGTAGCATCAGTACCTTTGGTTTGTGTTGGCCGAGCGTGTCACGGCAAAGTTCCTCCTGGTTCTTGACAACTTCGACTCGATGTCAGCACGGAAGGCGTTGAAGCGGCTGCCGAAGTGGGAAATGAAGTGTGTCCTCTGCCAACTAACGCGACGTCCCATTGCCAACTATTGGATGTGTCCATCATGGCGCCTTTCAAGAAATATTTGCGTGACCTATGGATCGCAGAAGACATGGTCAGTACACCGGACGGTGACGATGAAGAATACTGGAAGTCGCCAGCCTCTCGCGTCAAGAGGACCACAATGATCAAGCGCGCGATCCTTGCGTGGGAACGTATCACGCCTGATCAGGCTCGGGCCAGCTTCTTGAAGGCCATTACACAGTAGGTGGACGGCATTCGCCGTCCACAACCATTGAAATAAGTTTTTGCGATTATGTTGGGTTCCAGAAATTTCAACACGCTCAAAGTAGGTGAAAACGATAGGTCTCGTCAAGATGGAGCGAATGGCACTGATTTGAGCGCAATCGGTGCAGAAATGACTGAATTAGACGTGAAAAACGTTCTGTGATTGGTCGGTCCCCATAAATTGAGATTTTTAAAAATGCCCGAATTCACAGTCCGCGAGAGCATCGAGGGGGCTCTGAGAATTTTTGAAAATTGATAATAATATTACAGGCGCTACATTTCAATGCTGAATTTGGCACTACCTGCAATACACAATATCAAGAAATATATTACTTCGTACGAGGAATACAACTAATGGAGGTATTTCTTGCTAAACATCGCCATCACTGTCACACGTGCTTGAGGACGACATGCCGTCGTCAGAGAATGTGTCGCACTCATTTTCATGGCGACTTTGGTTTGAACCGTCTAATTCAGCATCCCGTAGAGCGCGATCAAGTCTGAATAGCTTGCCTTTGTGGTACATGGCGTTGCCCATCACAAACACTGCGCTTGCCCACCCAAGTTTTTCAACTTCATCCATGAGCTTGCCAAACCAATCAACGAAATAGTCATGGTTGAACATAGCATGGTAGTCCTTCACAGTCATACCATTTTTCTTCCCACCGACAAAAATGTCTAGCCCCAGAAGATGTGCGGCGTCCGATCCGTCGTCAAGATTGCCCGCGATGACACAGTACCGGCGTCCCTTGTGCTTGGGCTTTGTCATCTTGCTATCGGGATAGAAGAGACTGTCGGCATGACGTGCGTAGTGGTGATGAATGAAACTTTCATCCAAGTACACAACAGGCCGACGAGGAGACATAGACACGGTAGGTACCATCATGCTGACGTATTGGTCTCGTGCGTCTTGGTGTTCCTTGCTCATGCTGTACTCAGTCTCGCCAACACGCCTTCCTCGAGCGTAACCCTGCTTTGCAAGAAAAGCCTGCACACCTCGAAGGCACGACGAATAGCTCTTGTGGCAGATGGATCAATCACCAGAACATGA